AGCTGTTCTGAGGGTCTAAATAAAATTCTGACCAAACTGGCAATGCCTCAAAAAAGTTGAAGATTAACAACATCCCAGACTAGAAACACTTGAAGTACTGCAAATCTGTAAAAAAGCTTCAATGAGACTTACAGTATGATTCAAAACAAAATAACAGAATCATCAATATTACTTGAGATTTACAGTCCAATTCAACAACACAGAAATTTAAGCACATTTGAATATGTATCCAGAGTGCTGTTGGTTCCCATGATCTAAACTTCTGTGGTTTCTTCATCTTTGCCAGTGGTGAATTTTTCTATTTGGAGGACAAATCAGGTTGCCTAATAAAAATGGTAGACACAAGAAGCAGTGACCTTTGTAAAATCTTACAACAGTAAGGCCCCAAATGTGGCACACCAAGCACGTGTAAAATTATACATATAAGTTTTTGACCCCTTCAGATAGGTCCCAAGGAGTTTCCCCTCTGAAAACATATGAGAAGCACAGCAATAGACAAAAGAGAGGGAAAGGCTGGCTGCACAAAACAAGTTACAAAACAAAGCCAAATCCCACACACACAGTTGTTATGAAATGAAGCCATCTACTCAAATGATCCAGTAAAACCCTGCTCCTGTGGATATGAATGGTCACTGGTCCCAGGGAGGTCAGTCATCTAGACATAATGCTTGTCCATGCATCCTGTTTGGATACCCTGTATGGATAAACTCAATTTGTTGTTCTCGCTTCTGCATTCCTTCATCTTTCCCAGCTAAAATTGTAAATATTCTCTGCCTCCCCCAGAGAAACACCCAACACAAATCCTGCCTCCTTGCTGTCCCACACTATTTCTACTCTCCCAGACTGCCAGAGATGGGAAGGCTGCCATCACCTTCCTGCCTCACCAAGTGAAAATACCCAGCAAAACTGCACTGTGACTATGGTAAGCCAGGCCCTGGAAGAGTCTGCAAAATCTGGCATTGCTGGCTGCTGTATCTGGCAGTCTGCACGTGTGCCAGCATGAGGATGTTGTTTGAAGTGTCTGTGCTGAAAAACGTCAGGCCCCATTTGGTAATAACATGGAGTTTAAAGGACTCTGATAAGAAATTGTGTTTTGCCCCCAGCCACTTCCTCACATTGAGTTCAGCAGCTGCAGTTTCTGCTGTGTAGTTTCTAGAATAAAAATACAGTTGTTAAAATCAAGTTTATGTTCATACAAGCTTTGTAACACAGATACAATAAAATTTTGGGTCACAAATAACACTTTCAATAACAAGATTTGCAAAATTATGAAATTCTTTGACTGACAGTATGCTGTAAGCAACATGAAACAAAACCATCTCCCTCACACTCAATATCTACTAATTTGTATTTGCATTAGGAGTCATGCAGTAGCACTGTTTGCCTGTCATGCAAGTGTAATTTTCTATGTTCTTCATGGGTGTCTGATGTTTCAGGCAATAATATTCAGACATCTACAATTGTGGTTAAGAATTGTGTTGTGCTGCCACCTTCTGATACGAGATAATCAGCCATTAATATCCCATTATTGTGATACAGCCCTGCAATATGAACCTAGGAAAAATTAGAAATAACTTGTTGTCCATTGTCTGTAACTGTACTGTGATAAAAATTAATGTGAAATTGTGCATTTGCTATGCTAAATAGACTTTTGGATATCCCTTGTCTGAATTAATACATTTTTTAAAAGTCTATTTGTATCATTTAATAGTTGTAACATTTTCTCAAGCTGTATATCCATGGCTTAATAGAGTGAGGAATGTAGAAAAATTTACAGCTATTTAGCCAAAACTGTGGCTGTAAATGGCAAACAAACAAGCAACCAGTGTGTTATTATGCAGTTGTGGGAATAGACCCTGTGTCACTGGGCAAGTGCCATGATATACTTGCTTTGGTCAGCAAGAAATCATGGGAGTAGTAAGTGCAAATAGCACCTGGAAAGAGGATGCAGAGGAGAAACTTGATTGTTGCTGAGGACTGTAGATATCATGCAAACAAGGAGATAAGAAAGAAGAACTATGGGCAGACAAATATGAGGGAGGATGCATGACGTAAAAGTACTAGGGAGCTGTATAAAAGCTAGCTGGTAGAGAAAATAAAGGTCTTCTTGTGCAAACAGCAACAGAGTTCATGCCTCATTGCCACATGCAGTGAGGGCTAGGGGCTCCTCAGGGCTGGGGGGTGGCAGTGGCAGGGGCTCTGCACAGGGGCCAGGCAGACAGGGCACATCCCACTGCCCAGCCAGGAGCAGGGCAGCTGGGGGGCACCAGGGCAGCCCCAGTCCTGGGCATCAGGCACCTCCCTGGGCATGGACCTGGAACTCTCCCCATCAAGTATAGCTGAAGGAACATTCTATGCAGTACCCACAATTTCTTAAATTTAGAGGCTCTAGTAAGCATGCATTGCTAAAACTGTCACATAAACATTTTGCACCTCTCTCGTCTCTGTTCTAATGTAGAAAATATGTTCCGAACATTTAATGATGTTTTTTAATTTGGCTTTGTGAAGAATGTCTAATGACAACAATTTCACCAGTTCTCACACTCCTTTGTAGTGTTTATACTCAGTAATTGATTTATAATTAAAAGCTCTGATGCTATTCTTTTGAAAATAGTAATTGGAAATACAAAAAATTACTTCAGTAAACTTTCATGACAACAGATTATAACAACCTCAGAACCTGCTCATTGAGACATAACCATGTGTTTTATGTATTTTACAACAGAAGCAATATTGCTTCTGTTGTAAAATACATCCAGTACATGGATGTTTACATTAAAATGAAGCTAAAGTAGCACTGTCAAATATTTGAATTTTAAAATACCAGGATTAAGATTATTTATGAATTTTTTAATTTTACTTCCTTTAGCTCTATATCTTGTAGCCAGTCATGCTCTGATCAGTCTAACAGTCCATGTATGTATTTTCCACTGAACTTCTACCTCCTTGTTCAGACAAATTTTGTCTGGTTTTCTAAAAACATTGCAAGCTAAAAGTATAGTGCAGGCAATTCTCCCTCCAAATTCCCATCTGTGCACCCCATCCCCCCAGTTCTCATCATTCCATTTCATAAAGGAAAAAGCTGAACAAGAAGAAGCACAAAAAACATGGCCTGAGCTATGGCATTCTCTAAGTGATTAAACACATCCATACTCTTCAGCCTTAAACTACTGTGATGGAGGATGAATGTGACAGCCATGTGAAATCATTAATGAGAAGATTAATAGAGCACAATTGTTCACTATTTATTATAAGACAGAAAAAAATAAACCAGGAGCCACTCAAATCATAAAGTAGCACATGTACAAAAAGCAACAAGAAATACTGTTTATTTGTTCAATTCCTTATATACCTCCCACAAGAAACTACTGATAGCTCAGGTGAGAGAACTGGGCTGAAGAGACTTTCTGTGCAATCAAGTTTGCTAATTATATTATTATTAATAATAATATTAATATTGATATTTATATTTACATGATTAATATTATTCATAACCAAACTATAAGCAAGTTTCTCCCAAGCCCCCTAAAACCACCTCCCTGCCAGAGCAATATCCACTTCTCACATTATCCCAGAGGAAGGGTGCACTGCTGTTGAAGACATCTACTGAGTGCAGGTAACTGTGACACATACTGGCAGTGGATGTGCTGGGATATCCTGAAAGTGAGGGGTTTCATACAGGATCCAGGACATGTAGTGCCAAATGAGCTATCGGAGCAGGGATTTGTTAGCAATAATTATGGCCTTAGACCTCTTGTCTAGCTGCAGTTTCCTCTTGCCCCTTGTGCTGGTTTCAGCCGCGATGGAGTTAACTTGTTTTTTCCTTCAGTAGCTGGTACAGTGTGGTGTTTGGATTCAGAGTGAGAATACTGTTGATAGCACACTGATGTTTTGGTTTCTGCTAAGTTGTGTTTATCTTAAATCAAGGACATTTTCTTTCTTGTGTCTCATGCTCTGACAGTGTGATAAGGAACACAAGAGAAACTGGGACAGAGCATAGCTGGGACAGGTGACCTGAACTAGCCAAAGGGATATTCCACACCATAGGACATCATGCTCAGTATATAAGCAGGAAGGGGCCGATCCATGGGGATGAACAGGGTTGTGTCAGTCTGCAGGTGGTGAGCAATTGTATTGTGCATCACTGATTTTGTTGTGTTAGTTTTTTACCTTTCACTTTCTTTTTATTATCCATTAGCATTTAAGCTCATTCTGCTCTTTATTGTTAAACTGTTCTTATCTCAACCTACATATTTTGTTTTATTTTCTCCTACACATTCCTCTGGGAGGGGGAGGAGGGAGGAGGGAGTGTGCGTGGCTCTTGGCAGCTGGCTGGGATTAAACCACAACACCCCTTTACTCCACCAGTTCCAGCATCCTTTTCTCAAGCAAGTTTCCGTTTTCAACTACTGAACAGAGCAAAATGTCTATTAAACATGCAAAGACATACTTATCCAATCAGGGCCAAAAGGACAGGTTCAATTACATTTTCTGGTAAAGTAGATGCCAGTTTAAGGAGGCAGGACCTGCAGGCCCATGGACAGAAATCACACTGGAGCAGGTCTGCTGGCACAGCCTGTTTCCAAAGTACTGCACCATGAGGGAGGGACCCACACTGGAGCACCTCATGAAGAACTGCAGCCCATGGGAAGGACCCACATTGGATAAGTTTGCAGAGGACTGTATCCCATGGGAGACACCCCATGCTGGAGTAGGAGAAGACTGTGAGGAGTCGTCCCACTGAAGAGGAAGGAGTGGAAGCAACATGTGATGAACTGACTGCAAACCCCATTCCCTGTCTCCCTGAATTGCTGTGGGGGAGGAGATAGAGAATTGGGAACAAAGTTCAGCCCAGGAAGGAAGGAGGTGGATAGGGAAGGTGTTTATAAGATTTGGTTTTACTTCTCATTATTCCTACCCTGATTTGGTTGGCAATAAATTAAATTTCCCCAAGTCAAGTCTGTTCTGCCCATGATAGTAATTGGTGAGTGATGTCTCTCAGTCCTTATTTCAACCCATGAGCCTTTCATTATATTTCTTCTCCCCTGTCCTGCTGAGTGGTGGGGTGGCTTTGGTAGGCACATTGCATCCAGCCAAGGTCAACCTACCACAGACATACTTGTCCAAACTGAGCCAAAATTACTGTTTCTATAACATTTTCTGATTAAGCAGATGCTGGTTTAGGGAGTTACTTATCTCTATACTAAATCCTTTAATATTTCTTTGTGAATATATTTACAAACCTGACATCAACAGTTTTATTGCATTCATGGTCAAACACCTCGAAAGCTTCTATAATCTTTTTCTCAATTTCAGCTACTGCACCATCTGCAAAAAGAAACATAAGAAAAAGAAAGAATCACTGAGCTGTTGCAACTGATTTATTTCCAGTTTGAGACTTGTGACAGCAGAAACACCAAAACTGATAAAGGGGCAGGTAGGAAAAGTACTTTGAAAGAGCAGAAGCTGTTTGGAAAAAAACCCAGACACTCTAAATGCAGAATCTGTCATTTGTATTAGTAATACGGCCTCTCTATGGCTCTGCAGCTACATCAAGTCTGATGGTAAGGATGTGCCTCAGCTGCAGGATCACCTAGCTGCCCAGGTGTGGACCCTGCCCAGAGTGTGCCACATCTCCCTCTGAGCCACAAGCCTAAGCCCCTCCAGGACTGCATGGTGCCAGTGGAAGGAGCAAGGCAAACATGGACCCAGACTTGCCCTGAGATGCAGTTCAGTCACTTCATACAGGTTCAAGCATCCAGGGAAACATAAGTGCTCTGATGTCCACCACTTTAGTCATAATGTATGAAAAGCTGAGAAGCAGGGACAAAGAGATGGCTGAGATAGGTGCACAGTGAATGTCTCATGGTAAATAATTTATTGCAACAGGTCAGAAAGGAATACAATCGCAGCAAATGGGAAGGAGTAATTTGCTATATTTGCTTTATATATCTCAGTCTCAAAGAACAGGGAAAGAAGAACCACAAGTTATCACAGATGTATCTCATATAAGCCAGAAATCACATTCTTAGGGTAAGGGAAGTACCAGGAAATAAATTCCAAAGGAAAAAAATCTAAGGAGAGGAAAGGATTTATCTCAAAAGAAAAACTCCCTGGCAAGAAAGCCAGGGTAAATGAAGAATGAACTGATTAGCCCATTTATTAATGTTTGACTCCAAACAACAGAATATAGGAAGCAAAGTGACGTGGAGTTGACGTTTCGGTTCCTGTGGCTAAATACAGCCCCAAACTCCATTTGGCAAATGAACTCTCAGGAGACAGCACTTTTTGAGTTAGCCCCACAGACTCCACAGAGATGCCACATGGAAAATCTGAGTGGCAGCTAGAATGAGATTGGTATCAGGGTCACTTGTTTTCTCATTTTCATTCTGGTACCGAGAAGGAGACTGAAAGCAGGAATTGAACAGTTAAAGCTGAAAGCATAAAGGATAACTTTACTGATAGCACTATTTCAGCTTAATTAACAAAATAGCAAGGATTGCATAGTACAGACAAGAAGTTTCACTAATGGTGTTGTTTTGGCTTGGTTGGCAAAACGATGCACCTTATCTATAAAACAGTAGAACTAACTAGACTCAAACCTTGGCAGTAGGAGGAAAACTAAGGCCCTATAAGGTGTGGAATGAAGAAACAAAATGTTCCAGATAGAGGCAAGGTCAGCAAGGCATGCAAAACTGTACAAAGGGGTAAATGGTTGCACAGTAAGGGTGTCCAAAGGGTACTGAGGAAGAGGAGGTGCTTCATCTTCACGACCACCAAACGACCACCAGGACCATGGGACTGATGCCAGGAGAGGGGAGACAGAGGAGAAGTATATGATAATGATTTCTGAGAACTAATTATAATAATAACCACCCATTCCTGGAAATAATGAATATGTATGAGCATTTAATGTATACAAACTGTGAAGTTTTTGTCCCTGGTTACACAAGTTCGGTGGAGCGATCCCCCTTGTGCCCAGTGCTGAATAAACAAATACTTGCTACTCAGAGATACAAGTCTGTGAGTAGTTCTTTTCCAGCCTTTTCTTGGCATCAATACTCCTCTTCTGTATTTTCAACATAATAAGTAAAACGAAGCTCTCCTCTAGTCCATGATTTCTTTTTTGGCTGATGTGGCGTTAAGTGTTGCTGAGCAGCTCTGGCCAATAGTAAGCTACTACAGCATAACAAATTCACACCTAGTTTTCCACAATCCCAGTAGTTTGGGAATCCCTGGAGCTGCAATGTGCAGTCATTTTTTTTATTTGCTTTCTTGCCCTCAGGCCAGAAATGTCTTTTTGCTGGCAAAGGGTATCAGAACAGAACATAGCTGAATGATACATTGGCTTTGTGATCTCCCTCTCTTCATCTCAACCCATGAGCTTTTCCCTTGTATTTTCTCCCCCTGTGCTGTTGAGGAGGGAGGAGAGAGGCTGAGTGGGCACCTGGCAGCAGGCCAAGGTCAGTCCACCACAGGCTGCAAGCACTTGAATAGAGCAGTGGATTGGCCCAGATATGAGGAACCTCTTCATGTAGAAGAGAGGTGCATCCCCTTACAAAGCTCCAGCTGCCAGCTGCTCTCCTTCTGCGTTTGGTACCAAACACCCAGAGAAGACACGTAAAGAGAAGAGAGGTAGGAATACGTCCTCTATTCTTCTCTCTGACTTTATTCCCCTGATGGAAGCAAGGGCAGGTACTTGTACAATGGATTGGAGACTGGAGCTCCCTGGGGAAGAAAAGCCCTGCCCAGTCCCCAGATAAAGCACAAGCTGTATTCTTTTCACAGACTGACAATAATGCCTACCCTTTCTGTGCCTAAATGCCAGTAAAATCCACATTTAATTCTTTTTTAAGAAAACACATTTATATCTAAGTGGACCTGATCTCTTGTAGAGAAGTCCCTAAAGAATTTCAAACTACTACATTTGATGGGAGTTTTTTTCCAGCGACTTCAAAGAGTCTTGGATCTAGTCTCCTGTGTAGACCTGGAGCTTAGTTCTTGAGATCAGATACTTGAACTGTATGTAAACTATGAATTGCAATACAGAAATGCTAAAGGAATATTTGTAGCTGTATATTCTTGACTTGATGTAAGAGGCTTCTGTAGAAATAAAAACTAGCCAGGGGAAGGCAGGGAGAGATTTTAAGTACTGGAAATATGTAGGCATCCAGCCTTTTCAAGCTTTTTTCCCAGGAAAACAGTATACATCCACCTTACCCATTTCAAGAGGCCTGACAAAGAAAGATCCTGAAAATAAATGAACTTGATGGTTCAATCTATGTACCAGATAATCTGTATCTCTTCCAAGAACTGAGGGGAAGTTGTGGTTAAGAGCCACATCCATAAAAGAAAACATAATATATTGTGGTCCTCTCAAAGACTCCCTGTGAGATCAGTAAACACTTAATAAGCTGTTGCCTAAACCTCTCATCTTCCTTCTAGGAATGAAAGCCAAACATGTTCAACATAGTTCAGGATGGCAAAGCTAGTTATCCAAAGACTATGATTCACTCTAAACCTCTGGGAGGGAAAAGATGATGGATTCCAGATCTAGAAAAAGAAATGGTAAAAGTTTTAAAATTACACCTTCAAGAAGAGCATCAAGAGATCAGACATGCAGTTAACTCAGCAGATGTGATGCTCTAATGTACTGAAATCTTTCTGATACCAAGAAGCAGACTGAAAGCAGGAATTGAACAGTTAAAGCTGAAAGCATAAAGGATAACTTTACTGATAGCACTATTTCAGCTTAATTAACAAAATAGCAAGGATTGCATAGTACAGACAAGAAGTTTCACTAATGGTATTGTTTTGGCTTGGTTGGTGAAATGATGCACCTTATCTATAAGGCAGTAGAACTAACTAGACTCAAACCTTGGCAGTAGGGGGAAAACTAAGACCATATAAGGTGTGGAATGAAGAAACAAAATGTTCCAGATAGAGGCAAGGTCAGCAAGGCATGCAAAACTGTACAAAGGGGTAAATGGTTGCACAGTAAGGGTGTCCAAAGGGTACTGAGGAAGAGGAGGTGCTTCATCTTCACGACCACCAAACGACCACCAGGACCATGGGACTGATGCCAGGAGAGGGGAGACAGAGGAGAAGTATATGATAATGATTTCTGAGAACTAATTATAATAATAACCACCCATTCCTGGAAATAATGAATATGTGTGAGCATTTAATGTATACAAACTGTGAAGTTTTTGTCCCTGGTTACACAAGTTCGGTGGAGCGATCCCCCTTGTGCCCAGTGCTGAATAAACAAATACCTGCTACTCAGAGACACAAGTCTGTGAGTAGTTCTTTTCAAGGCTTTTCTCGGCCTCACAGAAGCACCTACATTCTGATCAAATAAAGATTTCACTCTCTTATTCTACTAACTAGAAAAAAAATACACAATATCAAAGATAAAATTATCTGACTACCTGCAACGGTTTAAATAGATAAATACTGAAACCTACCTTGCCAAAAAGGATTCCAACAATTCCAACAAAATGAGTCCTGTAGAGATGATATGTCATTTCCATTCTTATGCTGCTAAAATGCTTCAGATACTCATCATTGTTGTCCCATACTAATTTATTATCCTACCTTATATGTAATAAGAAGACAAAATGTCATAAAATCTATTACTCAGGTACATTAACTGAAAGTGTATTCACTTTTAACTTTCTTTCCTGTACTATCCTTTGCTATTTTCTCAGTTTGTTTAGTGTAAACCAGATAAAGCTCTAGATACTGCCAGTTAAGTAAGACTGACAGGGACCTGGGACTCCCAAATCAATTCTGGTGGTTCTTTCAGAATGAACTGTTCCTCTTCAGCTTGTCCAGACTGTTCCCCAGCACTCTGAGACCTATTTGAAGCCAGCCCTCAATCAGCACGCCTGCCTCAGTTGTGATACTACTTCTCCAAAGAAGACCCATTAAATAGATGAGGCTCTGCCAGATTCTTCAGTAATGAGGATTTTAAAAAGGGACTTCTAGTTGATACGATTTGCTAGATTCTACTATTAATTTAGCTCTATGAGCTTGCTTTCTTTCTTTCCCTGGGGCCAGTTGCTCTGATGGTTCAAAAAGCCAACCCTTCTTTTCACTGAAGAGAAATTATGTGCAGGAAAAAAACAGGTTATCATAAGAACAGGTAGCCCAACATTAAACAACCACCTAAAATGCTGGGGAGCAGCATCTGTCTGTTGCTCACAGAAAAAGATTTAGTCCCAGTGCAGCCTGATGAACCTGTTTATGCTATGAAATACTCAGAAACTCTTTCATGCTACATAAAGAGTGAAATTAAATCCTGATTTATAGAAGCACCAGTGGACTTGATTTTATTACTTAGTGTTACTGTGCACACACCAGAAACATTAATCTTTATAAACATTAATCTAGGTATATTTTAATAAACATAGTCGATTTTATATTTAAACTCCTATATGCATGTAGACAACTCATTAATTACTCCATCCTCTCATCATGTCTCCTGGGTTGCAGTGTGGGGGTAGCCAATGCTATGTATTCTATTATAATCTCCACAAGCTGTTAAAGCAGGTGGGGCAGTGATCATTATCTCCTACTCATCCCTGATGGCTCCCTCAGGGGCTGTCTCTGTTTAATGGGCTGTCAAGGACCCAGGCATGACCCATAGAATTACATAATCCCATTGTGAGATGCTTCACCCCAAGGGGGGGAGCCAAGCATTCCCACATGGATATAATCTGGGGTTTGGACCAGAACAGGAGCCCTTACCTACTGGATTCTCAGAGGACAAGAGCTGCCACTGGACCTTCAGGTGAAGACCAGATCTACAGGATCACTGCTCCAACAGACCCATC